AAATCCAAGGTTAATTGTTCATTGCCTTTTTTCTCTTGCCAACTCACCACCACCGCGAATCAAAAATAGTGGGGCGACTTAAGACACAAAAAAGAGAGATTTTCATGCATGAAAAGCTTATATTACGCAAAACAATGAGTCTCATTTCCAGTCGAGCATAAAGGAAATGAACGGAAGTCTTACTTAGGAGTCTTGAATTGCAGGCTGATTCTATTCCCTTCTTGGAAAAAGCGGGTTGAAAGAAAGATAAGGTACAAAAGGTTCGTACGGATGAATAAGTCCAGTCCAGTCTTGCGAATCGAATCAGTCTCGACGAGAATTTTGTGTCCATTCGAAGTCCTCGGAATGAATGGGGGAGGATTACTGGAGGACAAATAAGGGAGGTCGACCAGCGGATGCGCTCCGATTTTGACAAAAAACTTGTGATCACAAATTTAATTAGAATGAAATTTGGGAAAGACCCGATCTCCCAATGGGCACGTTTGGCAGAGATATTTGCATCCGAAGAGGAGAAAACGCGCCTTAAAGTCGACAAATTTTACACTTTCCAAATTTACCGCGCGTTTTCTCCTCATCGGATGCAAATATCTCTGCCAAACGTGCCCATTGGGAGATCGGGTCTTTCGAAAATTTCATACTAATCAAATTTGTGATATATTTTCCCAAAATCCGACAGCATCCGCTGGGAGACCTCCCTTGTTAGTGAATTGAAGAGAAAGTCTGTGTCTTTTCTCCTCCTAGAAAATAAATTTCATCATCCCACCACCATTCCGAACGAGATAAAAGCGAAGGTAAAATCTGTTGAGGGAAGAAATCTCCTGAGCAGTTAGTTTGTCGCGACAGTGGCCGCGGAGAAGCTGGAGGGGACAATGTCCCCACGGTTATTTGATGTCCCCATGTTATACAAACCCTTCCTTCCCCTATTCTACGATGTTAATGTCTCCCCAGTTTCCGCGGCGCCTGTTAGTGGATGACCTATAAAGTATGGATGGATGTCAGGTTGGCGCCTAAGTGGAGGAGTAGGGATTAAAAGAGGAGTAAAAAGAGGACACGCTACTAACGACGAGCTTAATACAGATGGAGCTCAAAGTATAGCTTTTGGCTCAGCACCATCCAAACTGCAGCATCAGCTTGTCTTTCGTCCTCTTAAAATAGATAATATTTTACGCCAAGATTTCATTCATCGCGGGATTACGATGAGCCATATATGTACATACGCGCTTAGAAAAGTGGTATTAAATCATTACTGACCGGCGTACATAAATTTACGACTCGACCAAATATGCGATAATAATGTTTTTTTGGTGTACTAAAAGTTTTACCACTGAGAAACAAACTACTACCAATCCGGTAGAAAGTTATTACCAAATCAATACCAGTAAGTACATATATGTGACTCTACACTCTTAGAAAACTGGTATTAAATCATTACTGACCGGAGTACATATCTATGACTCTACCGGTATGCTAATAACGGCCATTACCCTTTAAAATGTTGTAGTAATGGAAAATTTACCACTCAGAAACCAACTACTACCAGTCCGGTAGAAAGTTACTACCAAATAAATCCCAGTACGGTTTGTCGACCAGATTTTTAACAGTGTCCGTCCATCAGCTTTTACTTGGGTGCGTCTAATTTGTCTCGAGCAAATGGTCATTTTTTATCCCCGTTAATGCCGAACACGAGTAATCGCTCAGGTTGTGACATGAATTTTCCATATTCGGTCGATGGACGAGATCCAATTTGCCCGAGAGACAAGACAAGGAATGGAATGAGGAGAGAGAGAAAACCCGGGAGAATATCCGCCTTCCTTAAGTGCCTACCTTTTTCCGAGGTCTTCGACTTCTTGTTATCCACCATCCACCACCACCCATAATGCGCAGGAAGAAGGAGAGTTTGCTGTGACATGAACCATACCATTCCTACAAAGTCGTCCTCGAGAGTTGAAACTCTGTATTAAATGGGAAGGTTGATGATGATGGGTAGGGTTTGGCACATTTCTTGCAGTGCAAAAGGGAGAAATGCGAGGTGCAAGAAACTGGGAGAAATGTGCTTCTTCTAGCCACGTGTGTATGAAATATTCGGGCGGGGGCATAGTTTTTTGCGCCGTGTATTTCTTGCAGGTCAAAATAGCTGCAAAAAACACTCTTTACCGTTATTTCTTGCAAGTGGTTACTTTCAAGAGTTTCGTTTCTTGCGGGTTTGTCACATTTCTTCCAGTGCCAAGCGAGAAACGCGAGAAATGCGAGGTGGAAGAAACTGGGAGAAATATGCATTTGCATTTCTTACAGGTCAAAATACTTACCTCCAAAAAACCACTTTCTCCCGTTATTTCTTGCATTCGAAACATTGATGATGTGTTTTTGTGTATTCTGCATTATTTTCTCACGGACGTAGATTTAGTTGTGACTTGAGCGCTCACGTGGATGGAGAATATGTATGCGTGCATGTTGTTCTGTGTGTGTTCTGCTAGAGAGAGAAGAAGAAGATGCATTTCATCCTTGCTTCCTCAATGGCAATCGGGAGTTATTTTTATCCCGAGGAGAGAGAAATGGGACCGATTAATGCATTTTATTAGAGTCAAAGTGTAAATAGAGCTAATCTGATGTCGCCGTAGTGCGGGTGGCGCCACGACACTTATCGGGAGAATGCGCTCGTAAATTGCATATTATTTAATATGGGATGAAACTATATTATGTGAAGACTTTGTCCGTCTGTCTGTCAGTAGGATAACGGATCGAGATCATACCTGTTCAAAAATTCAGGTTTCATTCAAAGTCAGTCATTCCTATTTCTGACCGAAGATTTTCATTCACTTTCAGTCATTTTCTTTCAAATTCATTTCATTTCCCTTCATCTGACTTCATTTCTTACTTCGCCTCATGTATTAAGTACAGGGTGAAAAATTAAATGAGTAAGAAATCATTTCATTCACAGTCATTCATCTGCAATGACGGAATCCCTTAGTCATTTTCATTCTCAAATTACAGGAAATTCACTTACACTCACCATCATAATCACATTAATGAATGAAAGTGAACAGGTATGATCGAGATTGCTTTGCGGCATAATACGTATGACCCATGGGGAAGGATCCTATCAGCTTTTGGGCTAATTTCCCCCCACTGAAGTCATGGGAATATTTTCTGAATTACCTGTTTCACCCCGTTGCTACATTTCGTTTCCTCGTATTTACTTGTTGTCTTGATTTATTTGCAGGTGTGTGGAATGTCACGGCCTATTTTCCCCGGCGCGCTTTGTAGCCCACTCTCACCACCGGCAGGAAGTGAGGACTTGTCACTGGGGATTCGACTCGTCCAAGTGGAGGCACTACCTCCTCCTCGACAGGGATGAGGATCCAGAAAAATGGACAAAGTCGTTGGCCGAGTTTAAAGGAAAGTTCGAACAGAAACGAAAGGTAAGAAAAAAGACAGTTTTTTTTAGAAATGTGGATGAAAATGAGTGGGTGCGAACAAGGGAAATCAGAGGACCAAAAAAATGCGGGTCAAATTCGGACCCGGAATAAAGACATTTTTGTGGGGGACCTTTTTGAAAGGGAAAAAATTGGAGGATTTTTAAAAAAAAAACAAGAGAAAGAAATTTGGTGGTGTTTTTTTAATGGAAATGCGGGATAAAAAATTTTAGATTATTTTTGAGTGACAAATAGAAAACAAGATTTTGAGATTTTTTATAGATAAAAAATTCAGAGAGAAAAATTTGGGGAATATTTTTTTAGGGGAGAAACAGAAAAATTGGAGATTTTGTGTATAGCAGAAAACAAAACGAAAAAAATGCACAAAATTTTATACCGGAAAAGCAGAAGCAACAAAATTTCGAACTATTTTCATATAAATAACGGGACCAAAAAAGACAGAAATCACACCCACGCTAAAATTGTCTCCATCCGAAACAAAATGATAAGCCGCACATGCACCACTCGTTATGTTTTGTTCTTCTCGAGTTGGTTGTTCATTTCAAATCAGAATGTCATTATTAGCTCAAGGTTGTTTGAAGAGCATTGTCCTCTCTCTCGCACAGGAGGAAATGTGGCATTATTATCAAACATTTCTCCTTTAAATTGAGAGAAAGGAGAGAAGGAAGGAGCTGCTCCTTTTGAGCAGTGGCCGCGGAAGGGTGGGACAATAATGTCCCTCGGTTGTTCGAGGTCCGCATCATTTCCATATCTTATGTATGAAACCCTGCCTCCCCCATCCTAAAATGTGAAGTCCCCATATGTCCCCACAGCTTCCGCGGCCACTGGGAGAATTCAGGCATCTCAAATCTATGAACATGATGCAGTGGCCGCTGAAGCGTGGAGACGAAGGGACAATGTCCCCACGGTTGTTCGATGTCATCTGCCCATCTTATATAAACCTCTCCCTCCCCCATCCTACAATGGCAATGTCCCCCCATGTCCCCCACGACTTCCGCGGCCACTGCCTTTTTGAGTCAAGTATTTCAAACAAAAGCGGAGAAAGTTGGACACATCTCTGCCTCTCTCTCTCTCACTTTGTTTGACACTTGAGCATGCTCGAAACCTTGTTGATACAAACGAAGGGAATTTTGTGCTGCCTGGCACACTTTCCAACTTTTATTCGTATCTCTTCTCTAGAAATTCCTTCTGAATTAAATAAAAGGCGGAGGAGGAGGAGGAGAGGGAACTAAAATGCACTAAAATTCCCATTATTCGAGAACGGAGGAGAGACACGAACGAATTAAGTGTAACATTTTAGAATTAGAATTTTGAAACGAAGTTTTGCACCCACGCGAAAAGGAAGTGGATTTTGTATGCGATAAATAATTTCGTTGCTTTGCTGCATAAAATGGGAACTTTATATGTGAAAGTTTGATTTTGGGGGTTCTTTCACTTCCTGGAAATTTTGAGAATTTTGAAAATTTGTTGAGTGGACTGGACAGGTTAATTTTTATACGCGTCAGTTATTTGGGTTCCAGATTTTGTGCATTTCAGAATTAGAATTTTGAAATGAAGTTTTGCATTTCGTACGTTTTCGACCCACGCAAAAATGACATGAAGTGGATTTTGTGTGGTATAAATAATTGCGTTGTTGCATAAAATATGGAAAAACGGGAACTTTCTAAATATGTCTAACTGACAATCAAGCCTGGTTTTGTGGGTGCTTTTACTTCCTGGAAATTTGGGGAATTTGTTGGCGAACAGATTGATATTTTCAGTTATTTTTTGGCTGTGGATCCAGATATTTGATTCAAATAATTTGAATTAGAATTTTGCTATGAAGTTTTACATTTCGTTCATTTTCGACCCACGCAAAAATGACATGAAGTCAGTGGATTTTATATGCAATAAATAATTTCCTTACTGTACTGCATAAAATGGAAAGGAAACTGGAACTTTCTATGATTTTGGGGTGCTTTCACTTCCTGGAAATTTTGAGAATTTTGAAAATTTGTTGAGTGGATGGACAGGTTGATATTTGTAAGTTTGGGATCCAGATTTGGGGCAAATAGTGACACAGCCAACAAGTATTTTGTACCCTTTTCTTTTTCCTCTCCGGAATTTCTTCGCGTGGTTGAGTCGTGGTCGTGTCCGGGACGAATTGGCATCCTCGTCGAGATTTTTGTTCCTTCGTGACACGTCCAATTCGGATCGGAATGAAATTAAATTTTTCTTTCTGTCTGACACGTGTCGTGTCTCGCATTCTTTCTTGGTCTGCCGCACTGACTGATTATTAAGATTGGATTGAAACGGAACGGATGGAGTGTATATTATTGATTGAATTGAGGGGAACAAAATCAGAGGTGATAGGATTCCTCCAAGCTCTTAAATTTCCCTAGAGGAGGAGGAGGGAAAACTACTGCGGGAAATGTGTCTAGCTGTCTGTCTCCATATTCTTTAATTCCATTCTCACTGAAGAGTGAATTGGATTGGAGGAGAGGAGAGGAAATGTGGGATTTAAAGTCAGGGGGAGAGGATTTTGGGATTAAAAATGTTACCGAGATAAGGAGTGTTTTAAAGGGGGACATGTACATATTTGTAGATTTGTAAGATGTACACTTTGTGATGTGATTGTTACCGTTGGATGTTCTACCGGCATGGTAACAACGCTACTAATAAGTTGTTTTCTCAGGGTAAGAAGTTGAAAATCTGGTGTCGGTAATATTTTTATTAGGAGAGCGGGGGACATTTGGGGCTGAGCAGGATTTAGTTAGCTTCTGTGGTGATAAATTATTACCGAAGCGGTAGAACTGCATAGTACTTCCGATGGTAATAATCGTATTACAGGAATTGTGGAGAGTATATCTGTAACTGAATTTGGACTGGATTTCGAAATTTGCATCAACGTTTCCGAAATCCAATATTCAACCAAACCGCCGTCTGCTTCTGTCAGTCAAGCAGAACTCAATTATTCGTGATGCTGGGGTGATGAGCTTTTTATTAAAGTTTCTCTCCATGTACCTAATTAATGGATGTTTGAAAACTAATTTTCCACCAAATTAGGCATTTCGTAATTTGTTGACTGGATAAAAATTTTCCCTTTGAAGAAGAGAACACTCGTCGTCGTCGTTAGGAGATGGGACAGCCTTCGGCGTAATGATTATGCACCGTGATAGGAAAAGCTGATTTTTTGTTGGGATACAAGGGGGGTTTCCCAGTGGATGCTCTCCGATTTGGGCAAATGGTGCCAATTCGATGACAAATTTAATTAGGATGAAATTTGCGAAAGACAGGATCTCCCAATGGGCACGTTTGGCAGAGATATTTGCATCCGAAGAGGAGAAAATGCGCAGTAAATTTGGAAAGTGTAAAATTTGTCGACTTTAATGCGCATTTTCTCCTCTTCGGATGCAAATATTCTGCAAAACGTGCCAATTGGAAGATCGTGTCTTTCGCAAATTTCATCCTAATTAAATTTGTCATCAATTTCCACTAATTTCCTCAAAAATCGGAGCGCATCCGCTGGAGCCCTCCCCTATCAGAGCGACTGGGGTAACATGAGACTTCCCTTGAAGTAGACGCCTCTTATCTTATCTATCGATAAGACATCCCCAATTTTCAAAGAACTAGCTCTTTCTCTCTCCTGACAGCCCGTCAAGTGTCCCACCGTCGAAAAGTTTTCTGCGGGGAAATATTGCTTTAAAAGAGCGACTTCGTACCAAAATTTATGCAAGCTAAACTTTTCCCCAACGAGACAGGCCTTACAGATTTATAATGGTGCCTTTGTTATCCGGACTTTTCGTGAATAATGGCTGTTTAAAAAATTGATGGATATCTTGCCATCTGTCGCTCTGAAAAAAAAATCAATCTCTCAGAAATCCCGATTCTCTTTTTTTTAGGAAAGTTTTCCTCTCTCTGTGTTGAAATGAAACGTTGAAGTGGATCAAATCTGGGTTCGAATTTTCATGGTAGAATTGACGTGCGTTGAGAGTCATTGAAAGAAAGAGGAGCACAAAGAAAGTTTTACTTCACTTGAGATTTCACTTTACATGGATGATTGATGTAGTCGGGGCTGCTTTGGGGGGCAGTGGCCGCGGAAGGTGGGGGGGAGATGGGGGCAAGTGTCCCACCGTTGTTTGTGATCTGCCCATGTTATATATGTAAATATCCTCCTGTAATGTTAATGTCCCCAGATGTCCCCACGGCTTCCGCGGCCACTGTTTGTCGGGAGGAAATTGGAATGAGAGAGAAAGTCTTTTGTTTTCGGTTTGGTTGGGGAGAAAAAGCAAGCACGAAATGATGAATGCAAGCTCAGGGGTTGTCTTTCACTAGCTAGGCAACAAAGTGAGGAGATGGAGAGGAGAGAGAACTTCGCTACTTGTCAATCTCGGATTTTGAAATAGTTTGAATTCGAGTGAAAATGTACAGGCAGCCCAAAATCGAAAACTGAGAAGGCAAATAGTGAAGCTTTTCGCCTAAGTAAATACGTAAAGAACTCGATAAACATGGGGAAAAAGTGTCATGTTAACGAAAAGTGTAAGGAACGCCATATTTGGCGGTGAAAACGACGGTTTGTCCACGGTGGAAAACTTGTCTAGTTTTTTGGACCATAGTTTACAAATTTGTCGACAAAAACGCCGTTTTTCGGCCGTGTCTACCCTCCCGTTTATCTGGAACGTACTCATCGCAACAAAAAGATGAGGTTTAAATGGATGGATAGATTCTGAAGACCGAGTAGAACAATGCTCTCAAGTTATAATGTGAGCATTTTTAATGATACTTTAACTTCCCTCTCCTCCATTTCATCGCAGAAAAAGGAGAAGAAAGAGAAAGCATTCTGCGGAAAATTGTAGAGTTTTTTGCCTCTTTCTTGTTAGCTTTTCGAGAAGACGATGCGATGCGATGCTTGTCTGTCAAGGAAGGTGGATAGTATTAGATTTTTGGAGAGACCGATTTTCTTCCAAAATTGGCTGTCTCATTTTGATCTGTCCTCGAACTTGTGG